CGGGAACCCAGAAGCTCATCCAATGGGATGCTCTGCCTAAGACTTTAAATCTAGAGCAAGTGGCCCACAGGAGGTAGGCGATGGCAGCAGCAGTGTCCAGCAAGGTCAGGCCCTGGCCATGAAGGTCAGAGGATACTGTCTGGCCCTCCATGATCTCTGACCCAAACATGTGTATTCGTTAGTATTTTTCAGTGCAGGGTAATAGAAAACCCAATGCAGGCTGGCTTAGGCAGAAAAGGAAATGCATGGAGCCTGGTAAACAGGAGATTTAGCATTTATTTCGTAACACTTCACAGATAGCTCCATCCAAAGCTCAAAAGATGTGAAAAGAAGCCTGTTTTTCACGCCCCCTTTCTTACTCTGCTTCTTTAGCTGAGTTCCAGGCAGAGCAATTCAAGAAAATGACTGGCAGGGGCCTGGGCCTATCTCTTTCCAGATTTACCTCCAGTAAGACAGGAAGTCACTTCCTCCAAAGGTCAAGTAACAGTCCAGGAACTGAGGTTCTTATTGGGCTAATCCCAATGAGTTAAGAGATCTCATGTCCATCTCTTAGCTAAGGACAGTGGTCACTCAGGTGCAAAGTAATGGATTTCTTAGTCTAGACAAGGTGATTCTTCCCGAGACCTCGAGGCCAAGAGAGGGGAAGAGGACCATTGGGGAAATGGTTTTCAGAATAAGTAAATGGATGCCAGGCACCAGAAACCAAGGACTACGTGTCATTTGCACAAACTCAAAGATTCTAGAATTAGGATATAAAAAAGGCAGGAAATGTTACATATCAAATATTTCTCATTAGAAACACCATTCCTTTATCACATAAGGTCATGTGGCCAATGAACACAGTTGTTCAAGAAAACAAGCCCCTGATTCCTAAGGAGTTGACACAATAAGTACCATAGGACTCCTACCAATGCAGCTTTAGTGTTTTTCAGTGCATCATACAGACCCTGATTTAGCCATTTTATAAAATGGGAAAATTTGAATGTTTTTCCTGCTGGGGCTGTGAGGTTGTGGACTAATCTTGTCTGGAGTGTCTGAAAAGGCTTCTAGCCCCCAGATTCTAGTGCAGTCATGGCGAACCTATGACACGCGTGTCAGAGGTGACACGCGAACTCATTTTTTTGGTTGATTTTCCTTTGTTAAATGGCATTATATATATATATATACATATATATATGCACTCACACACACATGTTAGTTTATAAATATAACTGTGAAGGGGGAATTAATACAGCAATTTGACAGGTGATAGAAGTGTCATTCAGAGAGATAAGTGGACTTTTGCAGTAGTGTACAACTGTCACTTCCTCATTTTCTTGGTTGATTTTTACACACACACACACACACACATATATATAATATCAAAAATATAAGTCTTTGTTTTACTATGGTTGCAAATATCAAAAAATTTCTATATGTGACACGGCAACAGAGTTAAGTTAGGGTTTTTCAAAATGCTGACACACCAAGCTCAAAAGGTTCGCCATCACTGCCCTAGTGTAACGCACACCTCTAATATCTGTAATAGCTGATCTTAATGGATAAGCAGATTTGCAAGTGTGAATCTACTCTAACATATAATTAGATGAAGAGTCTTTTAAAAAAGAACAATTCTCTTTCATTCCAAATTTTCTTACGGCACATAACTTCCTTTATTGCGCCAATGTAGAAACACCACTGGTCCTAAAGGCTAGATCTAAAAACACATACAAAATGCGGTGCCTCTAAAACAACCCTTAGCCTCCGAAACGTACACCAATAAGAAGTTGATCACCAAAGCTGTGCACCCCCTCAAGGGAGGCATACCCTTAGGCACCTACTTAACATGTGGCCATGAAGGACAAGGGGGAGAAGAGCCTCCCTGATGGCATAGCTGGTCTCAGAGAGCAGCAGATGGGAGGCCTCCTTGCAGGTGTTAAGGAAGGAACCCTCCCCTTGCAAGGGCAGAGGGGCCTCCCAATGCCTGCCCTTCGTTTCTATGGATGGGCACTGCTGTGTTTCCCATTCTTTTGAATGAGAATTTTTATTGACTTCACTACTGTAGTCGGGAAGATACCTGTCAAACTCATTTTCAACCGAGCTGGGAGAGGGATAGCACCTAGCAGTTCCACCATGTAGGAAAAGAAAATGAACAGAAGAAACACAGAGAATGATAAAAGAGCCCATCAGTTGCAAATCTCACAAAGTGCCAGCAAACATCCAATTAGGACGGCAAGGGTGTCACCTTGAACTTCGAAAGAGATCTCTTTGTTTGCAGTAGGTGTGGATATAGGTTGAAGAGGGATAGCAGCTTAAGCCTCCGAGTCCCCCTCCCGCCCTGCAACCCTCCCGCCTTAATCTGGTCCAAAGAACAGATGAGGCAGGACTATTCATAGAAGAACACAGATGGGCCTGCCGTCTCTTTGGCAGCAGGAAAGGAGAGTCTTGGGATGTGCTACCTGAATAGCTAGCTACCTGCTTCTCCCTGCTCCCCTCTCCCAGCCCCACTTAACATTCAGCCGATAGCTGGTACAGGAAGCTCCAGTTTGTTTGGTGTCAAGTATTTTACAAAAACCTGCCCCAGCATAAATATTAAGCTTCCATTTTTTAAAAAGAATGTGAAAAGAGCAGCAACACTTACCAAAGAATGGAAGACATTCAGTAGAAAAATGTCGCCCCAACCAGACAAAATTGTAACAAACTATGAAGTCATTGCCTCTAAGCATTTTCACAGAGAAACCACAAAGCAGCAATGCAAGAAATTAGGAAAATAGTAGTGGGATAACTAGTGAAGACGAAATGGGAGCTAATGGAATTCGGGAAAGAAATAGGAAGGAAAAAAAAATCCACTAATGATCATGAAATGAAAATAAAATTGGAAGGAACAGATGGCAGAATAGGCACTGTGAAGAACACACGAAAAAGGAACAGAGAGGATAAAATTACCAAAATGAGAACCAAATCGTAAGCGTTAAAAAGGCACAGAGGAAAGTTACAGACATAAAATACAGGCAGAAAAGTGATAATATATGTGTAGTTGGAATCCCCAAAGGACAGAACTAAAACCATACAACAGAGAAAACGTTTGGAGATGACAATCAAGCAAACTTTCCTAAAATCAAAGGAACAAAACCGAGTAGTGTTATCAGATGAAAGATAAAGACATAATCTTTTGCGTAGCTGTGCAAAACATCAAGTCACTTACAAAAGGGAAAAATATTGGGCTGACGTGAGATTTCTCCACCACAGCGTAAACATCAGAAGAGAGCGAAACACCTACAACACCTTGAAAAACATGGGAGTCAAAGATTTCATTTCCAGCCCAACTGCCATTCAAGGGGAAAGTTATTTTGAACAACACAAGACCCTAGGGAATATGGCTCCCGTGAGCCATTCTTAAGGCAACCATTTGAAGCTGAATTACAGCCAATCGGGTGAGGATGAGGAAAACCATGGCAAAAAAGACTCGAGATGAATACTGACGACATTTAACTGAGAATTACAACTAAAATAAATGTATCAGGAGAACAGACCAGAATGTAAATGATATACACCAATGTTATAGAATGACACAGAGTAATAATTGATAGTGGAAGAGGGAAAGGAGGAGGATGCTAAGTTCACCTTATATTATAGCTGAGAGCCAAGAGGTATCATACATCTAAAGAGGGAAAATTAGCTGAAGTATATTTAATAATTTAAAAGTAAACATTAAAAGGATGGTGTCCAGAGGGCGATGTCATTGTCCATAACAGGGAAATATTAGATATTGCTAAAAGATTAGAACACTAAGTTGTTATATATTATTATAATTATAAAGTTAATCCCTAAGATAAAAATAAAAAACTCCCCCAGTATCAAAGACACGCAAATATTATACAACAAAAATTGCTGCAGGAAAGAAGTAATTATAGATCACCATATGATCAGTTGTGAAGAGCATTTATCTAGTCCAAGAAATGCAAATGCTCACATTTGATCTAATTAAACGGCAGTGGGAGGACAGGAGGGTGGGAAGAGAGCCGTCTCCAGTGGAGCGGATGAAAGAGAACTAACTCCTCACCTTCCACCACAGGAAGTCAGGACATAATCCCTAAAACCTGAACATTCAGGAAGTGGCTACACGAGTGTGATATTCAGAGTCATGGAGATAAATATCAAAATAACCAAGCAAAAGAGCATAAAGTGGTTGCCCTGGGGAGGTGAAAAACTGCTGTTTTTCATAAACAAACCTTCTAGAACATTTATATGGTTCTTTCATATATAACTTTAATAAAAAGTACAATTTTTAAAAAGGAATTTGAGCACAACCGAGCAGTCTGAGTTCAACTGCCTGATTCATATTTGGATTTTTTCACTCTAACCTTGTCATGAGGTCCTTTCAAACTAAAAGCTCCTGAGTCTCTCACTGTTTTATTTTTTTATTTTTTAAAGTATATTTTTATTGATTTCAGAGAGGAAGGGAGAGGGAGAGAGATAGAAACATTAATGATGAGAGAGAATCATTGATCAGCTGCCTCCTGTTTACCCCATACTGGGGATTGAGCCCACAGCCTGGGCACGTGCCCTACCCTGGAACCAAACCCATGACTTCTGGTGCATAGGTTGACACTCAACCACTGAGCCATGCTGGCTAGGCTGGTTCATTTTTTTAAATGATTTAGAGAGAGAGAGAGAGAGAGAGAGAGAGATAGAGAGAGAGAGGGAGAGAGAGAGAGATTTGTTTCCCACTTATTCATGCATTCATTGGTTGATTCTTGCATGTGCCCTGACTGGCCATTGAACCGCAACCTTGGCTATCACTACGACACTCTAACTGACTAAACTACCGGCCAGGTGCGGTTCTTCATTCCTCTTTGCCTTTCATCGAAAGCCACGACGACCCCTGCGTTCATGTGACCGTATTTCATAAGCCTCCTTGCAGCCTTGTGCTGCTGTGTGTTCTGCGAGGACGGAAGTTTGACAAGCGCCATCCTCAGGACGGCCTGCCGAGGAAGCGAGAGTGGCAAGCAAACGGTTACCTATGGTGGTGATGACAGTTCCAGCGAAGAAAAAGGCACTTCCGAGGTCCCAGTGGCTGCTGTTGTTGGAGGAGTTTCCTATCGGACTCACTCCTGCGTTGTCAGCGTCAAGGGCATGCTGCAAAGAGAGTGAGAGAGCATGAGGCTCGGTTAAAAAAGTTAAAGGAAAAGAATTTTCCTGCTCAACAACCTGCAGTGATCTACAGGGGACTGGTTACGTGAATGAGGGCACAGTCACAAAGAAAAACACTACACACCCACTAATTAAAATGAGAAAATGCGTTGTGAGTGGGGGAAAGTTAGGGTATATAGACTAATGGTGCCATTTGGGTAACATTTGTAGGCACAGGTTTATGCAACCCAGCCCTGGGTTATGCAAATTGCATACAGATTGCTTAGCAAAGACATAGAAGGGTTGTCTGAAAGTTGTTACCTAAAGTGGTCATTCCTGAAAGACAGGCTTTCTGCTGCTTTTGACTCTTTTCTGTCTGTTAGAAAGTTTGACGTTGAGCTTGTTTCAGGGGCACAGGAGATCAGAGCTTGGGCTACTAGGTCAGACTACCTTCCCTTGCAGAAGCTACTCGAACCTCTCTAAGCCTAACTCTCCTCCTTGGAAAACTGGGGATGCTAATACCTTCCCCACACTCTGGTGGGGAGGATTCAATGAAATGGTCCCATGTAATGTACTTAGCTCAATGCCCTCCACCAAGTCAGGATTTAACTAACAGCCTATGTCATTTCACTGTTCCCCCAACACACAGACTCATATTGCTCCTTTTCAAAATAAACAGCAGTCACTCCTTACTGACCTACTGGATTTGGAGACCCATACACCTTAAAATTCCCCCCAAATTGCCCAAATTGATGATACTACTACGTCCTCCAGCCCGGGCAGGACACTCCATGAGACAGACGCTCTCCCTCCTGGACCTTTGCCCACGCCCTCCCTGAGCGTGCTCAGACTTCAGGGTCTAATCCGGGTCTGCTTTTCCAGGAGTTTTGTGCAGAATAAAGTGAAAATCTCTCAGCAGCCCTTCTAAGCTGGACCCGGCCAAACCCTTTCAGGCCAGAGGAGAGGGGAGAGCAGGGAGGAAGAGCAAACAGGTCCGCTGGGGCCAGGAGGGGACAGGTGGGAGTTGCAGAGGGAGCTGACAGACATAGAGCAACTTCTAGAGCAGTGATGGCGAACCTATGGCACATGTGTTAGAGGTGACACGCGAACTCATTTTTAGGTGAGCTGGGGTCAGGAAGGGACAGGTGGGAGCTGCAGAGGGAGGTGACAGACATAGAGCAACTTCTAGAACAGTGATGGCGAACCTATGACACGTGTGTCGGAGGTGACATGCGAACTCATTTTTTTGTTTGATTTTTCTTTGTTAAATGGCATTTAAATATATAAAATAAATATCAAAAATATACATCTTTTTTTTACTATGGTTGCAAATATCAAAAAATTTCTATATGTGACACAGCACTAGAGTTAGGTTAATATATTTCTATTTGACAGTATTGCAGATGTTTCCCATTTTCTCCATTTTTGCCCCCCTTCCACCCAACCCCTGCCCTACCCTAGGCCTTCCCCAAGACACAATATTGACATGTGATTGTATAGGGTGTCCTAAAAATGTATACACACACTTTGAGTAATTATAAAGGCAGTGTTTATTAAAATACATTTCATTTTCAAAATTGAGCTAATAGCTATTAAAGTGGGTATACATTTTGGGGGGACACCCTGTATTTATCCCTAAATAATGCCCTTTAAGGTTTGTTAAAACAGACATGGTTGCCACAAGATCAGATCACACGTGAAAAAGTGAATCACCCTTATATGTTGCCTTTATGAGCCTGGGATATTTCAAACTCTCTAGACGAGGGATCAGCAACCGTTTTTCATAAAGCACTAGATAAGAAATATTTTAGGCTTTTGGGGCACGTATGGTTTCTGTTGCATATTTATCCTTTCCTTTCACAAATGCTTAAATATGCAAAGGCCATTCTTAGTTCACATGTTGCACAAAAACAGGCTGTGCGCTGGATCTGGCCCGCCCTTGCACAACTGACTGGATAATGGGAAAAAATCCCCTTTTGTTAAATCTTTAGTCGATTCTTTCCTTTCTCTAAGAACATGAAATACTATGCTGCCCACTGTCTCTAACATAAACCCTGGCACCCCAGAATTTAAAATCCAGCTGCATGGGGTGTGTCCAGGCTGTCTTCGCCGATGGTTTAAATCGGCCTAATTGACAACAATCATCAGGGGCTCTGCTCTGTTCTGCTGTAGAGAAAAGACAGATGGCGAGTCCTTTCTGCTAGTAAAATATCCATTTTCCCTATACTGTGAGTTCCACCAGACCCAGCAACAGGCCCTAGCTAGTATTTATCTCCTCATTATCTATTCAGTGCTGATGGACCCACCTGGGCATAATACCTCAGGAGCAGCTCTGGGTCTCAGGCACTTAGGTGACCTCACATCATGCCATCAATAACTAATATTTCCAACTTCTATGAAGCTGCAAAGAGAGCTTGGTTTCAACCAAGTCTCCCTGTGCTGAGTATTGCCGACAAACATCATAAGCAGACCTCGTGCTGCATATAAAAATACAGATTTGCAGCAAAGACAAACGGAAAGGATTATTTGTTTCATCAAAAAAATCCGGATTCCTTTTCAAGTCTCTTTTTTTTTCTGAATTATGCAATTTATAAATAAATAATGTAAAGAATTTATCAATTGAAAGGGAAAGAAACTAACATTTGTTGAGTGTTTGCATGGAGCCAGGTACTATAAAGTGTGATTTCATTTTATCCTTTGCACTATTTGTGTGTTATTCAATTTTATCCTTTCTACAACTTGCAAAAAAGTAAAATTATCTCTCACTTCAGTGGTAAGAAAACAGGCTCAGAAAAGTTAAGTAACTTACCCTAGGGGACACAGCCAGGAAGCAGAGAAGTCAGGATTCAAACCCTGACTGGGCCCAACCCATGGTTTTGCCTTTTCCTTTGCATGTTGTACCCAGAACACACTCCTCTCCCACAGCCATACTGGCCTCCAGGCAGAGATGAGGGGGAAGGGCTGGCATCGTCTAAGAGTTTAGGCAGAAGGGACCTCCCAAGGGATCAATTCTAATGAGATGATTCCTTGAAGTGGAAGCACCAAACCTTATTTGGCTCTTGGAGCTGGTAATAGCTTAACTGTGTTGCATTAAAAATTAAATTTAAAAATAAAGAAAAAAAATTTGGACAGGTTGATTTTACACCGTTGGAGGGAGAGAGCAGAATAAAGAGAGAATAATTCCTGAAAGGGAGGAAGGAAAAAGAGAGAAAGGAGTGTCAATTGACATGTGGGAGGTTCCAGGTCAGTTCCAGCATTGCCCAGGACTTAAAAAATTTTATTTTTATTTTTTTATTTTAGAGAGAAACGAAGGGAAAGGAAGAGAGAGACACAGATATGAGAAAGATGAATTGGTTGCCCTTTGTACGCACGTTGACTGGGGATTGAACCCCAAACCTGGGTATGTGCCCTGACTGGGAATTGAAGGTGCATGGGATGACCCTCAGGCAACTGAGCCACACCAGCCAGGGCTGCCCAGGATTGTTGCCAGTATCCAACTTTAACTTGCTTTATCTATGATGTAAATTCCGCTCTCACTCCCCCAAGTCTTCAGTAAAGTGGGCTCTACACCCAAATGCCTTTGGGAAGCGGTTTTGTGGAAATTAAATATAAGCATTGTTATAGGCACAGTGGGAAGAATGAGAATGATAAGCCCTTCAATGAGTCACTGAGCTCTTGCTAAGGCTTTATACAATCCCTAGTCCTGGGCATGAGGTTTGACTCTATCTAGATCTGATGAGTCAGAAAGACTCCAACAAACCACCAGCATGAAAACGAATCAGCACACTTGGCTTATGTACACATAGGGAAAACCCAGCACAAACAACTGTTATCACTTGAATTAATAGCATCATTTTTAGTTCAATAAGAATATTTCTGAAAGAGTTCATAGTTCTAACTTTAATCATCTTCTAAAAGATTTTCAAAGGCTCTTAATTGTTTGAACGCAAGAAAACATTTTAAAATTAAATGTATTTGCTTTTAATTTGCTTCTCCCCTGCCCCGCCTGCCTCTCTGTACTCAGGCTGCAAAAGTGAAGATAAGCCAGCCCATTAGAAATGCCTGAGCACACAGAGAGTGAAATGAGGTAACTGAGCTGTGTCCTGTTTGGCTTAAAGATCAACCAAAACTCTCCCTCTCCATTCTCCCTCCACTACCCCTATGCTTTAGGACCACCTGGGAGGTATAACAGAAACTGCAGCCTCTCCCCAGTGAGGCAGGCCTCAGGTTGATGTGAAGGAAGAGTGACAGGGGTAACGATCACTTGGACCCCCCTCTCCCTCCCAACTGTCCCCAGTGCTGTAATCCTATAACTCGAAGCCTGGCTGTGTAAATCACTCTCCAGACAGCGTGAGACACCGTCATGAGTGCTAGCTCGACACTGAGATGAACAATGACCCACAGGGGACCACTAACTGTCTGTGGCTTTTCTCCTATGATCTGTGTACTTGGTGAGATCATCTGTTTCCTTATGTGGCACAAAAAAAATATCTGTGCTATCATCACTCAGCTTGTCTGAGGCTGGCTAAAGAATGCCACCGATGGGTGCCCTATGGGTGTACACTGATGGCAGGGGTGATCATTTGATGTATGGCTCAGTTGAGGATGCTTGCAGAATACAAGGCGGCTCTGTTCATAATCATGTTGGGACCACAGGGCAGGTGCAACCCAGCATGCATGGCCACTTCCTTCATAGGTCACACCCCGGGATGAAACGAAAAGACCCCTCATCGGAGGGCACAAAGGTGGCTCTGTGTGTATAGTATTCTTAGTCCCAGTTGGCAAAGGGATTTATGGAGTAGACAGCTAGCCAGGGGTTGAGGCAGGATGATGGGGTGGCTGTGAAAGTGGCTTCATAAATATATTAAATGTGAGCATTCTTTCAGCCATTAATGGATAGAAGGAGAGCCACAGACCCTGGGAGGCGGACAAAGGCACAGGCATCCAACTCAAAAAAGCCCCCTAATAATGCAAACCCCCAGCAGCATCCTTCTGCCTCCTCACAC